ACTCTGACTGGAAGATCCACTGCATGATGGAATGAGCCTGAGGAAAGTTTGTCACTCTGTAGATGTGAGGATCCAAAAGGCTGCACAGCTGAGATTTAATAAATTTGGTTTTATAAATGGAAGACTTTTTGCAAAATTTAACAGTGTTTATCAGAAAATTCTGCAGACCCCAATCTGTGAGGCATATGTTAACCCAAGTATCATAACTTTTAGTTTTTTGACTCAACATTTGCATGAAATTTATCAGCCTTTTAAGCTGCTCTTCTGGATCAGATACCTCCCAGGAATTCACATCCTCTAGGAAAACCCTAGCCTCCTTCCCAACACTCAATAATTCTTCTCCATATTGGATCTGTGCAGGGAGGCTATTCAGAGCAGTGTAGCTGTCTTTCAGCAAGGTAGCTACCTGAAGAGGATTCTTAAAATCCCTTCTGTGGTTGGAGAGGATGATGTCCCAAATGGGCACCAGCTGAAGTCCCCGGTCAATGACACACCAGGTTTGATTACTGGCAACTAGGCCAACTTTCCACTGGAAAAAGCTATTTGCTTCTGGTGGGCCACCTGTGTGGGCCACAGATAGTTGGACTTTGGTTTGGAGATTTTGGCATGTTGTGCTTTGGGAGGACGTGTTTGATTGAGAGTCTGACACATCCACACCTGCAGCTACTTTCACTCCAAAACCACTGTAGCTGCCCCTTATGTAACTATTCAGGGACTCTGCTGACTGCTGTTTCACTTCTGCCAGCTGCTCACTTTGGAAACCCTCTGAAATAGCTTTCCACCAGTAGATTCCTCCCAGGTGCAAAGGGCCCTGGTTAGCATGAGAGCCAAACCTGTGGAAGAAAGCTTCAGCCCTGTGTCTTAGCAAGGGGGGTCTGTCTAGGCCTGCGGGCTGATCCAGGAGATCTTCAAAGCATTTCAATTCCTGGAGAGCAGCCTTGGAGAACTGGAGCTGATCAATGGGAAAGTGGCAGGAGGCGAGTGGGACATAACTGAACTTGGTAGAACAGAAATAAGACTGTTCAGAATGTGATTGATGGGTTTCCTTGGATTCTGAATGTTCGCTGTGATCCATACCAGTTTCCAAGCTAAATCCCCAACCTCCACCCTTGGCTGAAGCAGTTACGCTGAAGCCCAGCTTCTCTATTGCCTGGGTGAACATAGCTTCTGCATGAGAAGATGTAAATTCCTGTGTTTCCATTCGTGTGCCCTGCTCAGGGCCATAGAGTGAGAACTCCTTAGGGACACTGAGTAGCTCCTGCCTCTTCTCTATAAGGTCTCTTTGGTAGCTGGTTTTGTAAATTCCCTGCAGGGCCAGCCCTCCAGATGCCCATCTCACCAGATCTCTATCTGGGAGGTTTTGCCTGTGAGACAGTGTCCCCTCCGTGAGGTTGAGTTGTCTCTGCATGTTTTCCATGACCTCTCTTAGGCACTTTTCAAGGGGTGGCCAGTATTCTTCTGGGATTTCCATCACCTGCCTCAGCTCTGTCTCTTTTTTCCTCACTGCCTCTTCGTGTTGTTGTCTGCCTTCTGACAGCAAATTTTTTAGCTCCTGTAGCACGTGCTCTGCCTTCTGTTGCTGTTTCTTTATCATTTCCACCTGAGATTCCTGGAACTCTGAAAGGCTATTTGAGTGTGACAGGTGAAGCAGCTTCTCCAGGGCCCTTTTCTCCCAGGGATACTGTGCCTGGGATTTCAGCTGCTGGAGGTCTTTGTCTTCTAGGTGTTGTAGGGCCTGGACACTGGTCACACTCAGATGTTCCTGCAGCTTGGGCAACCAGTACTCAACTGCCAGTCCTACTTCTCTCAGCATCTCTTGGAGATCCTGCCTTTTTTTGCCTCTGAGAAGGGGCTCATCAGCGGTGGACTTTGCTGTGTCCATGGCTGTGGAAAGAAAAGATACTCAGTTAGCCTGTGTCATGCCCTAAAAAAGTGTCAGCCCCGTGGCCACAGCGTGAGTGTACTAAAGACGCAAGTCTTTAAGGCTTTCTAATCCCCTCCTTTCATTATTCCAATAAATATATTTTAACACTATTTTAAAAAATGTGTGTGTGTGTGTGTGTGTGTGTGTGTGTGTGTGTGTAAGACATCTTTCTAGGTGTTCTGATTATGTACTGCCATTCTAGTTGCCAGGGTGAATTGCAACTTAAAAGCCTGGCTTTTGACACTTCCTATTACACAGAATCAATTGCATGGAGAGCGTTATGCTGAGAATTGGCTTTTGAACATATATATGGTTTGATAGCTTGATGTTTATTTTAAAAACAGAGTGGGACCACCAATTATCATTCCTTATTTTCTCTCAAACCTGTGTGAATACTGTTCTTCTGTGTGTTACTCCTTCTTAGGACCTTTTGTGTTATTTATTTACTTTCTTATCCTTTAAAATATACATCTAGATGTTAGCATCATGCTGTCAGATCTTCTTCCTTTTTGTCCCACTTTTTGTTTTTAAAGATTTCTATTGGGGAACTGGGGAGGGGAAGAGCACTGGAGAATTGGGGGAAGGGGAACAGACAAGTTGCTGTCCTTTTGTTCTTCAGTCTAGTTGTGGAGGACGTTGCTTCACTGGCCCAAGTTGACACCATCATTGCGCTCTTCCTGGGCGAGGAAGATCAGTCGCCGGCTTCTCGATGGCCACTCATGGCAGCTGCTGGCCACTCACACTGGCTGCCGGNATGGACAAAGAGGCAACTTGGGGAGATTTTTACTTGTTTCATCCTCAAAAAGGCTTGGACAACTATTTGGAGAATATCTTGCATTTCTGATGGATTTTCCCCAAAAATATTGATCAGAGTCAAGTTTGCAAGTCCAATAACAAACGTTGCCAACTCATTGTCACGATTCTTAGATTTGTTGCTCAGTTCTGGGGCCCGAAGTCCTTCTGTGTCCACAATAAGCACAAAGTCAAAGCCAAGTTCCTCTGAGAATGTCTCCTCCACCTTCAGGAGCTGCATGTAGGCCCCCCGGGTACACCTCCCAGCACTGACAGTGAACTGCAGCCCAAAAAGTGCATTCAGCAGGGTGGACTTCCCTGAGCTCTGCAGGCCAAGAATGGAAAGAACAAACAGCCGTTTGTTTCCAAGTTTCTCAGAGAGCTTGTCAAAAAGAGCTGTCACCCACTTTAGAGGCACATATGAAGCGTCCCCATCCATCAGCTCAATGGGCACACCAGATATCATTAGATCTGCAGCAATCTGGGGAAGGGAGAGAAAAAGCATATCTTTTGTGGACGAAGCCTCTTCCAGAGCTTCATAGATCTGGCCAATTTCTCTGAGAAGTTGCTCAATTCCCAAGGAACAGTCACTAATCTCTGTGGCGATAGCTTCTACCTCATTTTGCCGAACTTTCAGGTTGTTGCTATTTGGTGCCTTTTGCTTTTCTGTTTGTATCAGTGACCACAAAATCTTTTGCTTTTCATTCAGTTTTTCCAAGTGTCCTGCAGTCAGTTTGTCTAAAAACATACTCAGCCATTGCAAAAAGTAGAGTGTGGTGTGAGTTTCTGAATGTGTTTGGAGAATTTCAAGAACAGAGCGCATTAAATCATTGAGAGGAAAGGCTCTGTTCAACTGTTCATGTCGTATTCTCTGTTTTTCTGTCTCAATCTCACATTTGTGTTGTTCAATGCTCCGATTCCCCTTTTCTCTCAGGTGATAGAGTTCTTTGTCCTTTTTGCACCAAAGATGCCACAGTTGTCCCTGGAGGGGTAGTAAGTTTTCTTTCACCTGAGATATGTTCGTTTCTTTCAGAAGGGCCATTAGGATCTCTGCCTTTTCTTTGGCTTCCTTGCACTCTCTCTTGTCTTCATCAATAAAGAATCCTTGCTTGCGAGCAATGTGGGAACAGTCCTCTATGCTCAGAACAGCGTCTGAGAGCTCTAGCAAACGTGTGATTGTAGTAGCGAGCTCCTCTGTTAATTCTGCCTCATTTCTGTTCCTGATCCCAATGAATGCTTTCTGTTTAGAGGTATTGGCCATGGTTTTTTCTTTGTCATCAAGCAAACAGATCAGAGGCCTTGATGACTGACTCAATTCACGGACAATTTTTCGGTTTTCTTTATTGTCATCTGAAGTAGACATGAGGACAACAATGAGAGAAGAGACCTCCTGCAGGAAGATGAGTTGCTTCTCATGTTCCTTTGCGTCTCCATGAAGATTGGTGAAGGTCAAGCAGTTGTCAAATCTTTCTTCATCTTCCCCCCCAGGACAGAACCAGCAGACTTCCACCACACCCCCCATCAAGAGACAGTCTTTGCTACTCCCTCTGCAATGTCGGTGAAAAAAAATGTCATGTTTACGTTTACTGAGGAGACAGTTCATGATCTGAGATTTGGAAGTAGAGAAGCCATTTCCAACTCTAATAAAGGACACAACGGGGGTAGAGACACAACACATCTGCTTATTCTTGTAATTGTTTTTCTCTTCTTTTGGTGATTTCCTGGCTTCCTGCCAGCTTCTTCTAATTTGACGGAGAGACCAGAGA